CTTTCAAAATGTGAGTGGAAAAAGTTTGAAATAATTATTATTATCCGTTGCTTTATATGTTTGGTGTCATTTGTCTTGGTATACAGTGTCATCGCAGTATGCGCTGCCAGTGAGGCCCACTCATGCCTCACGACACGCCATGGTGTGAAGAGACCGGCAGCTTCGGCTCGTGCTCACCAGGGTGTTATTGAAACAGTTTATTTAGCCAGAAGAACACAGATAGAGTCGTTAAAAAATAACAATATTAACATGGCTGAGCCAGTTGAGAGAGCCTGAGCCCTCTTGTAGGCACCTGACATATACTGTACATATATCTCGAGGAAGTATTAAGTAACATTAGTATCATCAGAATGTTACCACAGTTATCACTTTGTTATTTATTTGTTTTAATTATTTTATTTATTGTTTTACATTTATATTATACTGTAAGTATATACATACTGTACTTTACAGTGGAGTTGTTAAACATAAATGTGATAAAGGAGGAAAGCAGTATAGCATGGGTTGTATTAAGGTGGAACAAGAGGACAGAGATGTCAGTATCATGTCTAGTCGGCAAATATATTTATTGCAATGGTAATTTCTATCTATCTACATGACAGCTAATAAGTGCTATGTGTTAGTTTGTCATGGGACTGGCTGCAAGGACTGGGTCGCAACGCCTGGCAAGTCACCTCATTCGGCGTCTTACGTCGTCTCATGCCCGCGGCCCGCCTTTAGAGCATACTAGTACTGGGGAGTAGTGCGGATTCAATTATGAGAAAATTCCGAATCGACTTCCACCACCCTTGGCACGGACGTCGCCATGCTGGCAGCAAGGCGAGAGTGATAGTGTAGACCTCGGTGTACATAGTGAGATCTACACTGGGTCATAAGGGGTAATACGTGAGTACAGACATCGTTTCGCTGACTGTAAGACACTCGGTAGCCTCAAGCTTGAACATAAAAAGAACATAAGAACATAAGGAGTCTGCAATAGGCCGGTTGGCCTGTGCATAGCAGCTCCTGTCGAGAGTTACTACCTCTCTCTATCATCCATGAATCTATCTAGCCTTCTTTTAAAACTTTCCAGCGTTCCAGCACTTACTACAAAGTTGCTAAGCTTGTTCCACTCGTCCACCACCCTATTTGTGAACCAGTTCCTTCCTATCTCCCTCCTAAACCTAAAATTATCCAACTTAAATCCGTTGCTACGAGTCCTATCCTGCTCGGATATTATAAAAACTTTGTCTATATCTCCTTTATTGATTCCTTTCACCCACTTAAATACTTTTATCATATCTTCCCGCACTCTTCGTCTTTCTAGGGATTGCAAGTTTAGTTTCTTTAACCTATCTTGATATGGAGGGTTTCTAGGTCCCGGAATCATTTTTGCAATTCTTTGCTGCACCGAGTCCAGTAAATTGATATCCATTCTATAATAAGGGCACCAGAACCGAACCGCATAATCGAGGTGCTTCCTGACTAGCGCAAGATATAGTTGCAATAAGACCTCTGCACTCTTATTACTTACACTTCTAGATGTAAAACCTAATACTCTGTTTGCCTTATTTCGAACATTAACGCACTGTTTTCTAGGCCGTAGGTCCGGGCTTACAAGTACCCCTAAGTCTCTTTCACAAGTCGACTTCTCTAGGTTGATGTTGTTAAGGCTGTATACATTGACAGTGTTTGTTTTTCCAATATTAAGTACGCTGCATTTGTTGGTGTTGAATTTCATTTGACATTTTCCTGGTCACTCCTGCAGTATATTTAAATCCTCCTGTAGTGCATTTGCATCCTGCCCTGATTTAATCTGCCGCCCTATTTTAGTGTCATCCGCAAACCTGCTTATGTCACTCCTGATCCCAGTATCTAGATCGTTTATGTAGATTATGAACAAGAGTGGGCCCAGTACTGTCCCCTGGGGAACCCCACTGGTTACATAACCCCACTTAACACCATCTACGCAGACCCTCTGTGTTCTATCGGTGAACCATGATTTTATCCAATTAAAACTTCCCCTCGATACCACGAGTCTTAACTTTTCTCAGAAGCCTCTGATGCGGTACTCTGTCAAATGCTTTGCTAACGTTTAAGTAAATAACATCGTAATTTTCGTCATTATCTACTACCTCGAAGACTTTCCTAAAAAACGTCAGCAGATTTGTTAGACAAGATATTCCCTTTGTAAACCCATGTTGAGAGTCGTAGATTAATTTGTTTTTCTCTAAATGCGATCGGATGTTATTTGCTATAATTGATTCAAGAAATTTCCCCACTACTGACGTCAAACTAATTGGCTGGTAATTTGACGCTGATGTTCTGTCACCCGTTTTGAATAAGGGTACTACATTTGCCTGTTTCCACAAGTCTGGCACAACTCCCGTGTCGAATGATTTTTTCATAAATTTTCGAGAGGTCCGCTAATCTGTTCCTTACGCTCTTTCAAAACTCGAGGGAAAATTTCCTCCGGCCCTGGGGATTTTGTCTTCTTTAATTTATTTATCTTCTTAAGAACATCCTCTTTTCTGATAGTGATATTCTTTTATTTCTCTTCTTCATTTCCCCTAAATATCAGTTCCACCTCTGGAATTTCCTCGTGAATTTCTTCTGTGAAAACTGATAAGAAGTAGCTGTTTAATGCTTTGCATATTTTCTCAGTATCATCGATCACTTCTCCTCTCTCTGACATTAAAGGTCCCACTTTGTCCGATATACCTGGAAAAATCCCTTGGGATTCTCCTTGGGTTTTTCGGCTATCCTGATTTCGTAGTCCCTCTTTGCCTTCCTTACATTTTTCTTAGCATTCCTAGATAGTTCATTATACCTGTTTCTGAGCTGCTCCTCCCCTCCCTTTAATTTCTTATAATTCCTTTCATTTTTCCTATGTCATGTTTAAGTTTTTTGGTCATCCACCTTGGCTCATTCTTATTTGACCTAATTTTTCTGCATAGTATATTTTGTTCTTGTGCTTTACGTAGTATACGAGTGAATATATTATAGTCATGATCAATTGCTGTGTCGCCTGTGACCTCATCCGTTCCTACCTGGGACTGACCTGAATGTTCCCAGGCGACCTCACCTAGGTACCTTTTGAACCCCCCATAATCTGCCGATCGAAAGTTTGGGACTGACCATATTGTCATTGTTTTTCTTTTTCCAATTTAGGGTGAACCTGATTTCTCTGTAATCACTGTTCCCTAGTTCTTCCCCTATTGTTTTTTGTTTGTTTTTTTTACTCCCACTTACCCCGACCTCTCTCTACTGGCGAAACCCCCCCTTTGGAGCGACAATTTCACGCTCCGGGGATGCACACAACGTCTTTACCCCCGCGCGAGACAAATGTACTCCTTTACGGCTGTACAGGTAGTCGTTGCCATAGAATGGTTGCCAGTTATCAATGAACGCCCAACCATTGCTTGCACAATGTTTTTCCAATCTGCAATTTATAGCAATTGCTTTGGACAGCCATTCACCACCAACTCCTCTTCTAGGCAAGACACCACATACTATCGGGATCCCTCCCCTAGCACCTTCCTATACCTCTTGAAAAGTTCCTCACTCCTAACCTTTCCTATGTCGTTACCTGATAAAACCCTATCTATCCTCTCAGTTACATGCTCTATCCCAGCCCCAGGAAAACACACCCTAGTCCTACGTTTCCTATCTCTTGCACAAAAAGTCCTATCTAAGAACCTCACCTGGCTGTCCCCAACTACCATGACCTTACCACTGGGCAGGGTTTGACCAACTGCCCTTTTCTCTCCTGGCACCACACCGTACTGCCTCTTCTCTTCCTTGTCCTGCCTCTTCTCTTCCTCGCCAGCTTCTTCCAACACTTGGTAGGGGTTACTGCACTTCACACCCTGGTCAGCTTTCCTGAGTCTGACCCTAGTCCCCTTGGGAACAACCACTCTCCACGCCTGCTTCTCCTTCGTAGGTGTCCTGCTAGGCAGGGCACCTACCTGAAGGAGTTCAGTCCTGAGGGTTTCGTTCTCCCCCTTTAGAACGTCTGCCTCTCTCCTCAACTGCTCCAGCTGACTTAACAGAGTGGCCAGGGGGTGGTCTTTCCTCACACACCGTCCCTCTTCCCCCACAACACAACGATCCACGGCGGCCATTTCCTTTGGTCACTAACACGAGCACTTTGGGGCACGTCCTTCTCCAAGCTAGGTCAGGTAGCGTCTGAGTGTGAATTATTATTGTGATTAAATTACCACTGAGGCACCGTCTTCATACACATGTCAATATTATGTTGATAAGTCGTCAACTTGTCGGCCACGCGTTCCTTCTTTATGAATTCTATCTGACTAATTCTATTTCTACTTGGCCACACCTGTTGTTTCCCTATACTGCGTGAGAGGGAACGCCCTCGTCTTCGTGGAGGAAGCCTGCCTTCTACACAAGTTTTGAGTTCTACCTATTAACGTTGATGTGCTTTAAAAGAAAGTTCTGTGTTATTTATTACTTATGTTGTTTTTATCTTGCATCATTTGATTTTAGTCTTCCAAGCCTTTATTTTGTATTCGGCGACATAATATGACCTAAGCTGTTGCGTTGCCAGGAATGTATTTGCTACAATCAACCAATACATAACAAATAGTGTAGACATCTGTCGGGACTGTTTTTTGTGTACTTGTCATGGGTGTATACGCCATTACCACGAGAATAAAGCTGGTTGTTGTAATGTATTGTACTGTACTGTACGCACATCTGACTTTCTGTCGTCCAACGGGAGAGATAGTAGCTTACTTGGTGAAAAGAGAAGTAGTAGTGGATCTATTCCAAATGTGTTCTCCGAAAGCGTAAATTTGTTTGTGACTTGGACGGTAAATGTTTTCTTTTCTTTTTTTACATTCATTTCGTGAAACTTTTTTTTTTCAAGCAGTTATATATCTTTACAGACATTAAATTCGGCATTCGAGTGACCAAGAATAGAGTGTTCGCAACAGTTATAAATTAATTTATTTGTCATATATCAATATTAATCGAACATTATGTATGAGCCATTGAGCTGCAAGGGAGGCGGGGCTCTTAGAGATGGGTTCACTCGGCAGTGTCGGCACTGCTTAGGGAACAAATCTCAGCCTAGTGATGATTGAACGTATCTAGTTAAGGTAAAGTTTTCGTGTAATTAACATTCTAGTTGTTGACTTTACCTATGAGTTCTAGCTCAGGCCAACCAGTTAAGCATTATAAATATATGGCACATATAGTAACCCTTATCTTATCTCTCGTTATCAACATTATCACTTTCAAATGCCAAAGTTTATCTCATCACACGGGCCTCCCAATACATGGACTTGTTCTTCTAGTTGGAGTTCTCCTTCCTGATGGCTGCCTGCAAGTTAATGAGGTAAGTGTCGTTGTTTCTGTGTGTGTGTGGCACTGTTAACTGTGTGTGTGGCACTATAACCTGTATGTGTGTGTGTGTGTGGCACTGTTAACTGTGTGTGTGGCACTGTTAACTGTATGGGTGTGGCACTATAACCTGTATGTGTGTGTGGCACTGTTAACTGTGTGTGTGGCACTGTTAACTGTATGGGTGTGGCACTATAACCTGTATGTGTGTGTGGCACTGTTAACTGTATGTGTGTGGCACTATAACCTGTATGTGTGTGTGGCACTGTTAACTGTATGTGTGTGGCACTGTTAACTGTATGGGTGTGGCACTATTACATGTATGTGTGTGCGGCACTATTACCTGTATGTGTGTGTGTGGTACTATTACCTGTGTGTGTGTGGCACTATTACCGGTATGTGTGTGTGTGTGTGTGGCACTATTACCTGTATGTGTGTGTCACACTATTACATTGTGTGTGTGTGTGTGTGTGTGTGTGGCACTATTACCTGTATGTGTGTGCTATTATTACCTGTATGTGTGTGGCAATTATTGGCCTGTATGTGTGTGACACTATTACCTATATGTTTGTGGCACTATTCTGTATGTGTATGGCACTATTACCTGTATGTGTGTGGCACCATTATCTGTATGTGTGTGGCACTATTACCTGTATGTGTGTGGCACTATTACTATATGTTTGTAACTATTCCTGTATGTGTATGTGGCATTCCTGTATATGTGTATGGCACTATTACTGTATGTGTGTGTGTGGGTGTCTATTACCTGTATGTGTGTGTTACTATTACCTGTATGTGTGTGGCACTATTACATGTATGTGTGTGACACTATTACCTAGATGTTTGTGGCACTATTCCCTGTATGTGTGTGGCACTATTACCTGTATGTGTGTGGCACTATTACCTGTATGTGTGTGTGTCACTATTACCTGTATGTGTGTGGCACTATTACCTGTATGTGTGTGGCACTATAACCTGTATATGTGTGTGGCACTATTACCTCTATGTGTGGCACTATTACCCGTATGTGTGTGACACTGTTCAGTGTATGTGTGTGTCACTATTACCTGTGTTTGTGTGTGTGTGTGGCACTATTACCTGTATATACGCGTTGCACTATTACCTGTATGTGTGTGTGGCACTATTACCTGTATTCGTGTGTGGCACTATTACCTGTATGTGTGTGTGGCACTATTACCTCTGTGTGGCACTATTACCCGTATGTGTGTGACACTGTTCAGTGTATGTGTGTGTCACTATTACCTGTGTTTGTGTGTGTGTGTGGCACTATTACCTGTATGTGTGTAGCACGATTACCTGTATGCGTGTGTGGCACTATTACCTGTATGCATGTGTGGCACTATTACCTGTATGCATGTGTGGCACTATTACCTGTATGCGTGTGTGGCACTATTACCTGTAAGTGTGTGTGTGGCACTATTGCCTGTATGCGTGTGGCACTATTACCTGTATGTGTGTGGCACTATTACCTATATGTGTGTGTGTGGCACTATTACCTGTATGCATGTGTGGCACTATTACCTTTATGTGTGTGGCACTATTACCTGTATTCGTGTGTGGCACTATTACCTGTATGTGTGTAGCACTATTACCTGTATGCGTGTGTGTGTATTACCTGTATGTGTGTGGCACTATTACCTATGTAATGAGACAAAGATTTAAGAGTAGAAGATATAGAGATAGAGTATAAAGAGAGGAAGACTTTGGTAGCGTGGCCGTGATAGTTATTTACTCTTATCGTACACTGGTCGTGTCTTACACGTCAATACACATCTATCACGTTCTTAAAGGCGACTTCTTAAACACTGCTTCGTTACAACTCTTTATTAATCACGAACATGACATGGACACATTAATAACACCTTCTATTGAAGTTACTAGGACATTATATTTACGTTACTAGGACATCATATTACGTTACTAGACACTCTGATTCTCGGACACGAACATGAAATGAATACACTTCCCACGCAGGTAACTCATCCCATGGAAAGCTCTGACAAACACTCACGTGACCTAGGGGAGGCCTAGCAGGTAGTCCTGGGTTGTCTCTATGGGAGACTGCTTAGCTGGGCGCCGGAGGGAAGTCTCGGTCCAGACCGGAGGCGACTTGCCTCCGGCCCTTGACTTCTCTCGAGCAGGCCTGGTGGTGTAGTAGCTGGCCACCTTGTTACAAGACAACTCTCTCTCTGCGAATTCACCGAGGGAGGACTAGCACGTCCTATATATTGGGAGGCGAAGGGTCTCCTTACATTTGACCTCGCAAATGTGAGGTCAGGTCTGGACTTTTCAGAACTATCTGGGAAAGTCATCAGGTGGGGCCGTGTGTATATTGGGAGAGCAACCGTGAGAGTTCCCCTACACTTGACCTCCCAAACGTCGGGTCAGACTGGAGTTTCTGAGATGTAAGGAGAAGTCATCAGGTGGGGCCGTGTGACACGAGAGGCCCTGGTTGATTTGTGGCCCCTTGAGTTGGGCTCCAAGGGTTACATTTGACCTGGCTAATGTGAGGTCAGGTCCAGCCTTTGTTCAGAGAGTAGGTTATTGTATATTGGAAGAGAGTCGGCTGGTGCCTTCTTACATGTTTTGTTGGGGCCACATGTCACATGGGAGGGGAGCTACGCTGATTTACAATCCTTGGTCAACCGCAGAGTTACACTTGACCCCCCTAATGTCGGGTCAAGACTGGCCCCCCTCTGCGGTGTAGGACATTGTGTATATTGGGAGAGAGCCGGCTGGTGCCCTCTTACATGTGTGACATGGGAGGGGGAGCTAGTTGATTTACAACATCCTTGAGCACCTGCGAGGGATACCCTTACACTTGACCTAGGGAAGGCCTAGAGTTTCTGAGATGTAAGCTGTGGTCTGACAACCCATCACTACACCTATATGTGTGTGTGTGTGGCACTATTACCTGTATGTGTATGGCACTATTACCTGTATGTGTGTAGCACTATTACCTGTATGCGTGTGTGGCACTATTACCTGTATGTGTGTGTGGCACTATTACCTGTATTCGTGTGTGGCACTATTACCTTTATGTGTGTGGCACTATTACCTGTATGCATGTGTGGCACTATTACCTGTATGTGTGTGGCACTATTACCTGTATGCGTGTGTGGCACTATTACCTGTATGTGTGTAGCACTATTACCTGTATGCATGTGTGGAGCACTATTACCTGTATGCATGTGTGGCACTATTACCTGTATGTGTGAGGCATTATTACCTGAACGTGTATGGCACTATTACCTATATGCGTGTGTGGCACTATTACCTGTATGCGTGTGTGGTACCTGCTACTGTATGCGTGTGTGGCACCATACCTGAACGGCACCATACCCATGGTGCGTGTGTGGCACCATTACCCGTATGTGTGTGCACCACACCTGTATGCGTGTGCACGATAACGTATGTGCGGAGGCATTATTACCCGAACGTGTGGCACTATTACCTATATGCGTGTGTGGCACTATTACCCTATGTGAGACATTATTACCTGAACGTGTGTAACTGCCACTGTACGTGGCACCATTACCTGTATGCACAGGTGGCACCATTACCCGTATGCGTGGCACCATTACCCGTGCGTGTGTCGACATCTGCATGTGTGTGGCACTATTACCCGTATGCCGTGGTGGCACTATTACCTGTGCGTGAGGCATTATTACCTGAACGTATGCAATTATTACCTATATGCGTGTGTGGTGAATTATTACCTGTATGCGTGTGTGGCACTGCTACCGTATGCGTGTGTGGCATCATTACCTGAACGTGTGTGGCACTATTACCTGTATTCGTGTGTGGCACTATTACCTTTATGTGTGTGGCACTATTACCTGTATGTGTGTGTGGCACTATTACCTGTATGTGTGTGGCACTATTACCTGTATGCGTGTGTGGCACTATTACCTGTATGTGTGTAGCACTATTACCTGTATGCATGTGTGGAGCACTATTACCTGTATGCATGTGTGGCACTATTACCTGTATGTGTGAGGCATTATTACCTGAACGTGTATGGCACTATTACCTATATGCGTGTGTGGCACTATTACCTGTATGCGTGTGTGGCAATTCACACCTGTATGTAAGAGACATTATTACCTGAACGTGTGTGGCAATTATTACCTATGCGTGTGGCACTATTACCTATATGCGTGTGTGGTGACTCATACCTGTATGCGGCACTATTACCTGTATGCGTGTGTGGCACCATTACTTGTATGCATGTGTGGCACTATTACCTGTATGTGTGTGTGGGCACCACAATTACATGCATGTGTGGCACCATTACCTATATGCGTGTGTGTGGCACCATACCTATATGCGTGTGTGGCAACTATTACCCAAAGTGTGTGTGTGGCACTACACCTGTATGTGTGTGGCACCATACCTGTATGCATGTGTGGCACTATTACCTGTATGCATGTGTGGCACCATACCTGTATGCATGTGTGGCACTATTACCTGTATGCATGTGGCACCATACCTGTATGCGTGTGTGGCACTTACATATCTGTATGCGTGTGGCACCATTACCTGTATGTGTGTGGTAGTATTACCTGTATGCAGCATGTGTGGCACTATTACCTGTATGTGGTACCATACCTGTATGTGTGTGTGGCACTGTTACCCAGATGCATGTGTGGCACTATTACCTGTATGCGTGTGTGGCACTATTACCTGTATGCGTGTGGCACTATTACCTGTATGTGTGTGGCAGTATTACCTGTATGCATGTGTGGCACTATTACCTGTATGTGTGTGGCACTATTACCTGTATGCATGTGTGGCACTATTACCTGTATGTGTGTGTCACTATTACCTGTATGTGTGTGGCACTGTTACCTGTATGCGTGTGTGGCACTATTACCTGTATGTGTGTATCATTATTACCTGAAATGTGTGTGTAACAGCCTTGGGGCCGAAGCCAAGCCTCCTGCTTCGAAGCCGTAAGCCATTGTAAATTAATAATGCCAAAACTAAACAATTAAGTCATAAAGCCAAGGCTTTCCAAGGCCACGCGAAACTTTAACACCATTACTTATACAATATAATGAACTGTATTACCTTACTTGTTGATGAAAATACATAATTATGATATTCCAAGTTGCACCAAAACCATAGTGTAGATCTTCGGGATGTTAGGGATAATCCCCCCTTACAATTCATGAAATTCTGAAGAAATTAAAAACCTCCCAAAGTTTGAAGACAAAAATATTTATTAATTTTTCTGTTTTACTGTTTAAGAATTTAGTGAAAGGTAGTTTGAGGACAACGTTTAGTGTTAGTTTTAGTTTTAATTCTGACAGTGATGTCAGCTCAGGTCACATTTCTTGCGTGTGAGTGACCCTTGTCAACTCAGGTCATCATTAAAGAGAAGATTTTGCCGGGCCTAACATCCCCTCCCTGGCAGTGAGGTCATAATCGACACTTGTCAACTCGGGTCGTAATCAATCCCCTCCTCTGAGATGTGACAGCTAGTGATATTGGGGTCAACCTGCTTCCGGTCACGAGGGTTGACACAATAATGTTGTTAATGTTAGCGTCATGGGTCAGCCTATCAGGTCATACATAATATAGCAGTTCAAGCAAGTCAATTTTGTAAAAAAGTAATATGCTTTCTAAAACGATATAAAATATATACATTATTTTGTTACTATTACATTCAGTGGCGCATTTTTGCAAGTCTCTAAAGTCCCCCCCCCCCCTTCAATCACAAGAAGTCTACTCCAATGAGCAAGTCTTTGAGATGAGCTGACTTTATTTTAAACTGACAGCTCTTGGGATAGGTTTGCTTCTCTCTATAGTCAAAAGGTTTGCTTATAGTAGCAATTTATATATTCGTTTATTTTATTCACTTTTTATTGTACCTGGTAGCTGAACCATGGTATGTGTTGTCCTGGATAGCTGAATTATGGTATGTGTTGTACTGGGTAGCTGAACCATGGTATGTGTTGTACTGGATAGCTGAACTATGATATGTGTTGTACTGGGTAGCTGAACCATGGTATGTGTTGTACTGGGTAGCTGAACCATGGTATGTGTTGTACTGGGTAGCTGAACCATGGTATGTGTTGTACTGGGTAGCTGAACCATGGTATGTGTTGTACTGGATAACTGAATCATGGTATGTGTTGTACTGGGTAGCTGAACCATGGTATGTGTTGTACTGGGTAACTGAACCATGGTATGTGTTGTACTGGGTAGCTGAACCATGGTATGTGTTGTACTGGGTAACTGAACCATGGTATGTGTTGTACTGGGTAGCTGAACCATGGTATGTTGCATCACTGTAGCTGAACCATGTATGTTGTACTGGGGTAGCTGAATCATGGTGCGGGCAGTTGGATAGCTGAACTATGATATGTGTTGTACTGTAGCCGAACCATGGTAAGGGTAAGGTATTGGGTAGCTTGAACCATGGTATGTGTTAAAGGATATTGAACTATGATATGTGTTGTACCAGAAGAACCATGGTATGTAAGCTATTGGGTAATAAACCATGGTATGTGTTGTACTGGGTAGCTGAACCATGGTATGTGTTGTATTGGGTAGCTGAACCATGGTATGTGTTGTATTGGGTAGCTGAACCATGGTATGTGTTGTACTGGGTAGCTGAACCATGGTATGTGTTGTACTGGGTACCTGAACCATGGTATGTGTTGTGCTGGATAGCTGAACTATGATATGTGTTGTACTGGGTAGCTGAACCATGGTATGTGTTGTATTGGGTAGCTGAACCATGGTATGTGTTGTGCTGGATAGCTGAACTATGATATGTGTTGTACTGGGTAGCTGAACCATGGTATGTGTTGTGCTGGATAGCTGAACTATGATATGTGTTGTATTGGGTAGCTGAACCATGGTATGTGTTGTATTGGGTAGCTGAACCATGGTATGTGTTGTACTGGGTAGCTGAACCATGGTATTACCATTAGTGAACAGGAGAACGAGGGCTTCGACAGGGAGTTTGAGGAGGACATTTTAGGTCAGTTGCAGGACCATCAGCACCTGCTCCAGCCGCTCCCACGGGCTGACTTCACTAGACTGGTTGATTGAAGCTACCTGAAGGAGCGCATAGTTCCTGCAGATGTGTCAGCCGTCATAAAAGGGTTTAAATACAAATCACCTGGTCAAAGTCACATTAACAAGAAGATCCTGGCTCAACTCCCCGACAACATGCAACGCCTGCCTCGCCTCTGGATACTTCCCTAAGATGTTCAAAATTGCTGTTATTCGCCTCATACCAAAAGCAGGGAAGCCTCCAAACAAAGTCGAAAACTTTCGACCAATGTCGCTGCTAGAGGTACCTCCCAAAATATTCGAAAAAATAGTCAACAAGCGATTGCGGATGTATCTGGAGGACGAAGACGTGCATAATCCCCACCAGTTCGGCTTCCGCCAGTACAAAGGCACGTCCACCGCCATAGCTCAGGCCTACGAGCAGATCGCCAATGCCATGACTGGCCGCCTGCAGTGCAATATAGTACTGAGGGACGTCAGCAAAGCGTTTGACAAAGTTTGGCACGCAGGGCTGCAGTATAAGATCATACAACTGGGGCTAACCGAAAATCTGACGCGCCTGCTGTGTAACTTCATTATGGACCGCAGAGCCAAAATCAAGATGCAAGAACATTTTGGAGAAGAATTCTCACTATCGAGCGGCGTGCCTCAGGGCTCTTGTCTCTCACCAACCCTACACACTGTACACGGCTGACCTGCCACCCCCAATCGTCGGCAGCAGTACGTCATGTATGCCGACGATGTAACACAGATCGTCACCTGCCCAGGAAGGTCCACAGCAAGGATGGCGCGACTCACTGCTCGGGCAATAGAGATCTCGGAGTATGAACATAAATGGAAAATAAAACAAACAAAACGAAATTTGAGGTCATACCCATAGCCAAATTCAAACCGGCCCCATCGATGATCGACGACGAAGAGATTGAGTACTCTAAACAAGGCAGGTTGCTCGGCCTCATCATTTCTCGGACGGGCATCATTCCCCACGTAGGACAGACTAAATAAATCCAAAGTCGCCGCAGCCAAATTAAAACGTTTTAAATTGATGCCTGAGAAGATACAAGTTCACCTGTACAAGCGCTGGTGAGGCCTGTGTTGGAGTACCCATCTATACCACTCGTCACACTCGGGAAGACTAGACTACAACAACTACAGAGCTTCCAAAACAAGTGTTTGAGGTCAGCCAGTGGCCAGCGCCACCCTACCAGGGACAGTGAAACCATCAACCTAGAAATAAAACAAGGCCCTCAACTTCAGGTTCCATCGCCTAGGGAAGAAGGTTTGGACAAGCTCTGGACGACCTCACAGCCCAGACCACCTACGCGGGAAGACATCGGGAGACCCCACGCCTGGTGCCCCGGAGTCTGCCCCTACAACAACCCAACCCGCGACCCATCTATGTCCGCCACAGTGATCCACCTTAGATTAAAACTTAGATGATATAAATTCACATTTAACAAGTCACAATCAAGTGAGTCCATAACGTAATACAGTATAAGATGTTAATAAACTTGTAATTGTAAAATCAATCTAGTCATTGTCTACTAAAATAACCATTGTGCAACCTCATTCTAAATCCTAGGTTAGCTTAGTTAGCCAACAAACTCTGTAATATGTAAACAAGGGCGTCGTCCCCTCTGTTTAACTCATTAAACTTCTTTTCCAACCTTTCCCCACGACTATATGTTGTGACTTCTCCATCCCTCATGTCTGGCTGTGCCTTGAGCCCCAGCATGCCTTCCATCCTTTCCCACCTTAACCTGGAAAAAAAAAAAAAAACACCATGGTATGTGTTGTCCTGGGTACCCTGAACCATGGTATGTGTTGTATTGGTAGCTGAACTATGGTATGTGTTGTATTGGGTAGCTGAACCATGGTATGTGTTATGGGAAGCTGAACCATGGTATGTGTTGTACTGGATAACTGAACCATGGTATGTGTTGTACTGGGTAGCTGAACCATGGTATGTGTTGTACTGGTAGCTAACCATGGTATGTGTTGTACTGGGTAGCTGAACCATGGTATGTGTTGTACTGGATAACTGAATCATGGTATGTGTTGTACTGGGTAGCTGAACCATGGTATGTGTTGTACTGGATAACTGAATCATGGTATGTGTTGTACTGGGTAGCTGAACCATGGTATGTGTTGTACTGGATAACTGAATCATGGTATGTGTTGTACTGGGTAGCTGAACCATGGTATGTGTTGTACTGGATAACTGAACCATGGTATGTGTTGTACTGGGTAGCTGAACCATGGTAGGTGTCCTGTTTTTTGGCCATTGATTGTCAAATAAATATTAGGATGTGAAAATGTGAACTAAAATAATGTCAGTATGTTGATGATTTAATGCCTTTGTGTCACCTACAGGTTGTTTGTGATTGTGGTGGTTTTTGTCATAGTATATATGGTGTACATCATTGTGAAGCGTGATGGCGCCATGCTCCCGCAATATTACTATCCCATCAACGGTACGAACAAGTATTTTTATTTGATATTGATATTTAGTTCATTTTATATTGGCTAAAGATATAAATTGTTTATGAGTATTGGTATTTCGATATGTGATTCTAGTCTATAAATATAAACAGATGAGGTCGAGAGGTGTAATTGCAAGATGGAGAACTTACCGAGAGTAATCAAATAGCGCTGGAGTTAGACTTGGTGGTGTCTTGGTTCAACGAGACCACGAAGGAACAATTAACCAAACACCACCCGAACCTGCCTGTAAATTTCCTGTACAACACAAACAAACGTCGAAGTTGTAACTTACTACCAACACTCTTCCAGTGAGTACTGGTTCTGACGTTTATATTCACTATTATCCTGATATCTCTAGATCGTACTTAAGTTAATGGTGTAACTGTACCACCTGTAGTCACACACACATGTCTCTCCTACAGCATCGAGTGGAGGAACAAACACTGGCAGGAAACAAAAATTTTCAACACCACCATTCACTTGTACTCCGCCTTCTCGGACCCCAACCCAGGTGAGTAGTGTCTCCTGGCCTGTCAGGCGGCTTCTACCTTAAGTGAGTTTCCGAATTGGTATGATGGGGTCCCTTAAATTAGGTTTAGGCTCGTGGATAAAAATAATGCAGTTCCTTAGTTATGTTTGTTGGGATCCTTAAGATAAATCTGAACCCAGGTTTGGTGTGACTTAGTTTAGATACGACCTCTTGGATAAGGTTATACAACAACGAATTTAAGAGTCATGCTAGTTCAGCGAACGATAGGCCTTTGGGACCCACTTTCACTGATATGACATACCTTTAACTGTTTCTGTACTTGTACAATTATTTATGAATGAATGAAATGAAATTAATTAAAACATGTAATCCTCTGTACAGACGGAGAACCCTGCGTGAGACTACTTGGTGTCACCAGGAGTACCCACACAGTGGATGGTGTCAACTCTGGTTCACCTCAAAAGATCCTCCCGTCGTCAGCAAAGTCACCACCTCCGGTACAGTAGGTGACACCTGTGCCACCTTCACCTGACTTCTGCCTCTTGGTTGTTGCTGATGGCAGGTGCTTTTGTATAATGACCCACTAGTAGTTGCTGCTTACGGCTGTACATCTAGTAGTGATCCGTCTGGTTCACCATCAGTACCAGGCTCTCCTAACCTGTTGATAACAAGTTATCACCTCCAATGCAACGTCCTGCCTGCACTGAACTCACCCCCCCACCAGCCTCCACCGTCACAATCCTCACCCACTGCACCGTCACCACTTTCTGCCAACACCACCATCCCGCCGTCATCACCCTTGCCAATACCGCCCTGCCACCAATATCACCGTCACCGTCATCCTCCCCTAGTCTTATCCCCCGCCTACCACGGACCTCCACCGTCACGTATCACCCGCCTGCATCCACCCTACTACCAACCTCCACCGTCCACCGTCATCACCCTCACACCCGCTGCCCTGCACCAATATCACACCGTCACCATCATCACCACCTTACCATCCCCACCCTCCACCAACCTCACCATCACCATCCTCCACCCTGCCATCCCCCCACCCCTACCACCAACCTCCACCCTCCACCATCCTCCACCCTGCCACCATCCCCCACCCTACCACCAACCTCCACCATCACCTCTCCACCCTATCCCCACCCTGCCACCATCACCCTTGCCATCCTCACCCACCCACCATCCTCACCCTCCACCTCACCTTACCATCCTCCACCCTCACCATCCTCCACCCTCCACCATCCTCCACCCTCCCACCACCCCCACCTTACCACCATCCTCCACCCACTCACCATCCTCACCCTCCACCATCCCCCACCCCTGCCATCCCACCTACCACCAACCTCCACCCTCACCATCCCTCACCCCTGCCTCCATCCCCCACCCTGCCACCATCAAAACCCTACCACCAACCTCCACACTCACCATCCTCCACCCTGCCATCATCCCTCCCAACCACCAACCTCCATCCTCCCAGCATCCTCCACCCTCACCTTCCACCTGTCCCACCCCACCCCCATCCTGCCTCCATCCCCACCTGCCACCATCCTCCACCCTACCACCAACCTCCACCTCCCACCATCTCCACCCTCCCACCATCCTCCACCTGCCACCTCCCCCACCCTACACCATCCCCCTCCACCCTGTCACCATCCCCACCCTGCCACCATCCCTCCACCCTACCACCAACCTCCACCCTCCACCATCCTCCTCCACCCTCCCACCATCCCTCCACCCTCCCACCATCCCTCCACCCTCCCACCATCCTCCACCCTGCCACCTCCCCCCACCCTGCCACCATCCCCCACCCTGCTCACCATCCCCTCACTCCCACCATCCTCCACCCTACCACCAACCTCCACCCTCCCACCATCCTCCACCCTCCCACCATCCTCCACCTCCCACCATCCTCCACCCTGCCACCATCCCCACCCCTGCCACCATCCCCCACCATACCACCACACCCTCCACCCTCCCACCATCCCCACCCCTGCCACCATCCCCCACCCACCACCAACCTCCACCCTCCCACCATCCCTCCACCCTCCCACCATCCCCCACCCTCCACCATCCCTCCACCCTCCCACCAACCTCCTCCACCCCCTGTCACCATCCTCCACCCTCCCACCACCCCCTCCACCCTGCCACCATCCCCCACCCCTCCCCACCAACCTCCACCTCCCACCATCCCTCCACCCTCCCACCATCCTCCACCCTCCCACCATCCCCACCTCCCCACCATCCCTCCACCCCACCAACCTCCACCCTCCCACCATCCTCCACCACCTCCCACCAACCTCCACCCTGTCACCATCTCCACCTCCCACCATCCTCCCACCCTGCCACCATCCCCACCCCCCACCAACCTCCCCACCCCACCAACCTCCACCCTCCAACCATCCTCCACCCCACCAACCTCCACCCTGCCACCATCCTCCACCCTCCCAAAATCCTCCACCCTGCCACCATCCCCCACCCTGCCACCATCCCTCCACCCTGCCACCATCCTCCACCCTACCACCAACCCCACCCTCCCCCACCATCCCTCCACCTTCCCACCATCCCCTCCACCTCCCACCATCCACCACCACCCTCCCACCATCCCCCACCTCCCCACCATCCCCCACCCTCCCCACCCATCCCTCCCCTACCACCATCCCCCACTCTCCCACCCCACCCCCACCCTCCCACCATCCCCCACCCTGCCACCATCTTCCCCTACCACCATCCTCCACCCTACCACCATCTTCCTCCCTGCCACCATCCCCCACCCTACCACCATCCTCCCCCAACCATCATCCTCCCCCCAATCACCATCCCTCACCATACCACCATCCTCCCTCCCCCACAACCATCCTCCACCCTCCCACCATCCTCCCCCTCACCACCATCCCCCACCTCTCCCACCATCCCCCACCCTGCCACCATCCTTCCCCCCTCACCACCATCCTCCACCCTCCCACCATCCCCCACTCTCCCACCATCCCCCAACCCTGCCACCATCCTCCCCACCACCCTCCTCCACCTCCCACCATCCCCCACCCTCCCACCATCACCCACCTCCCACCATCCTCCCACCTCCCACCATCCTCCACCCTCCCCACCATCCCTCCTCCCTCCCCACCATCCTCCACCAACCTCCACCCTCCACCCCCACCATCATCCCCCCTGCCACCATCCTCCACCCTCCACCCATCCTCCACCCTCCCACCTTCTCCCCCCACCACCATCCCCACCCCTGCCACCATCCTCCACCCCTGCCACCATCCTCCACCCCCACCATCCCCTCCACCCTCCCACATCCCCCACCCTCCCACCATCCCTCCACCTCCCACCATCCCCCCCTCTCACCATCCTCCACCCTCCCACCATCCCCCACCCTCCCACCATCCCCCACCCTCCCACCATCCTCCACCTCCCCACCATCCCCCACCCTCCCACCATCTCCACCCACCATCCTCCACCCTCCCACCATCTCCCTCCTCCCACCATCCTCCACCCTACCACCATCCTCCACCCTCCCCCATCCCCCAGCCCTCCCACCATCCCCCACCTCCCACCATCCCCCACCCTACCACCATCCTCCCCCACCCATCATCCCCAACAACCATCCTCACCCTCCCACCATCCTCCACCCTCCCACCATCCTCCACCCTACCACCAACCCCACCCTACCACCATCCCCCGCTCCCCACACCTCCCATCCCCTGCCTTGCCACCTCCAATCCCCCAACCTACCACCAACCCCACCCTACCACCATCACCCCCCACCCTGCCACCTCCCATCCCCCGCCCCACGCCTCCCATCCCCAACCTACCACCAACCCCACCCTACCACCATCCCCCACCCTGCCACTCCACATCCCCAAACCCTGCCACCTCCGATCCCCAACCCACCACCATCCCCCACCCTACTTCACCATCCCCCACCCTGCCACCTCCCATCCCCAACCCCACCACCAACCCCCACCTACCACCACCCCTGCCCCAACCTCCCTACCCCCACCCTGCCACCCTCCCATCCCCCAACCTACCACCACAACCCACACCCTGCTACCTCCCCATCCCTGCCCCACTACACCTCCCACATCCCCAACCTAACAAACCCCCAACCAACACCAACCCCACCCTACCACCATTCCCCACACCCTGCCACCTCCCCATCCCCAACCTACCACCAACCCCACCCTACCACCATCCCCACCCCTGCCACCTCCCATCCCCCACCCTGCCACCTCCCATCCCCCAACCCACCACCATCCCCCACCCTGCCACCTCCCATCCCCCCACCCCCACACCTCCATCCCCCAACCTACCACCATCCCCCACCTACCACCATCCCCACCCCTGCCACCTCCCATCCCCCACCCCACCTCCCATCCCCAACCCACCACCCAACCCCACCCTACCACCATCCCCTGCCCTGCCACCTCCCCATCCCTGCCCCACCTCCCCATCCCCCCAACCCACCACCTCCCCATCCCCCGCCCTGTTACCTCCCCATCCCCCAACCTACCACCATCCCCCACCCACCACCACCATCCCCCACCCTGCCACCTCCCATCCCCACCCTGCCACCTCCCATCCCCTGCCCTGCCACCTCCCATCCCCCAACCTACTGCCAACCCCACCCTGCCACCTCCCATCCCCACCCCACACCTCCCATCCCCCTGCCTCCACCTCCATCCCCCAACCTACCACCACCAACCCCCCACCCCTGACACCTCCCATCCCCCACCCTGCCACCCTCCCATCCCCAACCTGCCACCTCCCATCCCCAAACCCACCACCAACCCCCACCCTGCCACCTCCATCCCCCACTGCCACACCTCCCATCCCCCACCCCCACATCCTCCCATCCCCAAACCCACCACCAACCCCCACCCTACCACCATCCCCACCCTGCCACCTCCCCATCCCCTTGCACTCACACCTCTCCCAACCTACCACCAACCCCACCCTACCACCATCCCCACCCTGCCACCTCCCATCCCCCACTCCT